ATGATGATGTTCTTAGTCCCACGTTTATGAAAAAAATCTTATAAATAATAAAAATGTTGGAGCTGTGTTCCATCTAAGGAAATAATAATTTATAGTATGAAAACGGTGAAGTATTAAATGTGTGATAAAAAGAATTGAAATAACATTAGAACATGATTCCTACAATATAAGCCTAATATAAGATAAAAATGTTTTTCTTTAATGAAAAAGAAACATTAATGTTATATTTAATTAAAAAAAAAACTTAAGATACTATAAATTTACTTTAGGACAACAAAATGCATAGATCGTAACTACTCTGATTCAGAAGAATCACTGCTGACAGAATCTTCCCAAATTTATAGTATCCAAATCACAGGTAGATGAAGTATCCTCACATATAAGATATTTCTGTACATCATTTTCTAATAAGTTAATTTTTCGCGTTGTTACTGTTCTGCTTGCTGGTATGAGGGGTTCGGATATTAATAGTTACCTCTTTAATAGACCATGTCCATATATTATTTTTTCCTTTTCTTGGGTATGAGGTTTTATAATAAATTGAAAGTTGGAAAATTTTTATGCGACGTTTCGCTCCAACTTAGTGGGCTTTTTCAGGCACAAGTGGTGTCTCATTTGACTGGAAGGTTCATCAATATCCAATAAAGAACACATTTTTTGAAATACAAATAATTTTGAGTTCTTGTCCTTATGATCAAGCCAAGTATTAACCAGATCGGCATTGCTTATCAATTTTACTCTATCTGAAAAGTATTATAAAATAAAGTTCGTCGCAAGCAGACGCAGGTGAACTATACAAAAATTAAAAGTGTATGAATATGACAACACATATATTCAATAAATACGATATGTTTTGATATGTTTTTTAAATGCCTTTTGAAGTTTGAAAACGTAAAATTTTTATACCCATTTAAGAATCATCTTAAAAAATAAATAAAAACTAAACAATCTCGAACTTGTTTAGAAATAAATTTAAAGTACATACCTTGTTTAACAATATCCATAGTGGCTTTCAATTAAGTACGTACCGTTTACTCCATAATATACAGAACTACTATGAATGTTATTCTTTTCACTGATAAGATAATGATCGCAAAATTTATTTTTAGTGAAAATATTTGCTTACAAAAAACGCTGTTTATGAAAAATAATATACAGGATGGTTGAACATTGCTATAAGTATAAAATTATATATTCAGATATTAGTAAATTTTAACTTTTTTTTCGATTTTTGTCCATGGGACGAAGCACTGTGCATCGGTTCGTGGTCGGAAACTCTACGCACTGCGCTATGGAGACATGTTCGATTTATATTCAATACTAGAATTTATAGGATTAAATTAATAAAAAATATAGGATCTTCTTCCAATGCGCAGTAGTGAATGCAACGGGTATCTGCAGCCAGACGGGCCGCATGCTCTTCCAGAGAGCATAGTAAAAGATATATCAAAGAGCCAGACGTCTTAAAATACTTTCTCGAAAACGTTGCTAGCTCTTAGACTATTAGTATTCAGTTCTTTCGAAAATACTATACAGGGTGGTACGAACTGTATTCAAATAACTTCGGCAGCATATTCTGCAAATAAAAATAAATAAAAAAATTCGTATAAATGTGTGTCCTAAAATGTTGATTTTCAGAGATACAGGGTGTAAAATTTCTTTTTATTTGGATTTCTTCCAAATAATTTCTCGACTAACTTCGATATTAGGATGAAAATTGACGTCTGGGAGTTTTTTGATACGACAAAAAAATTTATTTTGATGTCAATATGACTCCTACTTGTAGAGAGCGCCACCTACATATTTTTTAACTGGTTTGAAGATTAAAAACTTTTTATCCGTACCTGTATAACACCACTGAGTAAAAAATATACATTTGGGGCGTTTTTTTATGTAAAAAACACGTCTCTTGGTAAAAATCTGTCATCATGGACATAAATTAAACATGTTGACTAAATAGTTATCAGACGAAAGAAAATGTGTAGTATATTCTTCATAAGTAAACCAACTACACACTAGAGTGCGAATTAATTTTACACTTAAACTAGCGTGTACCCGCGACTTCGTTCGCGTCGAATTAATAATTTGTAATGGTGATGATAAAGCAAAGCAAGAATTTCCATTAACATACAAACTGGATAAAATTTTCTAACATTTGCCAAAAATAAGCTTTAAACGTCGAGCAGTTTAAGCAGAATCGTGGTTAATCAATTACTCAACTTTTTGGAACACCCTATATGATTTTTTAAAAAATTTCAAAATATGTAAAAAAAACAAAATATATTATGCGTGTCTAAGCGTTTTCCCGAAAGACTAAGCGTTTTTTAAATAACAAATATTGTAATATTTGAGGGGCGTTCTCACCCTCTTGGAATTTGAGATTCGAGAAACCCCCCCTTATCGAACCTCTACACCCCACAGTCAATCCGCTTGCCAAAAATCAGCTTTAAACGATCCCCTTATCATTCGAGTTTCGAAAAATCCTTTGTTATCGAACCTCTGCACCCTAAAGTCAATCCGTTTTCCAAAAATCAGCTTTTTACGTCAAGGGCTTTAAGCAGGATCGTTATTAATCAATGACCAGATTTTTCAAAACACCCTGTATACATTTTTAAAAAATCTTATAATATTCTGAAAATTTTTCAGAATAAATAAATACCTAAATATTAAAACTTAATAACGTACTGAAACATACAGCGCCATAATATCTCGACCTCCACCCGTTATGCTCGTAACAGTTTGAAAATCAATATATCTAAAACAACTGATGCGTTATTCTTCAACCTGTTTCGAACCTCCATCGACCATCGACCGATGCAGCAGCGTTACTTTCCCACTCCGATTATCTCGACCACCGCTTTGTTATGCTCGTAACAGGTTAAAAACAACATATCTGAAATTACTGCTTATTTTCAATACGTTATTCTCCAACCCGTTGCGAGCCTCCATCGACAATCGACCGATACAGCAGCGTTTCTTTCCCACTCCTGTTATCTCGACCGCGAGGCGTTATGCCCGCAACTGTTTCAAAAAAGCTGCTTCTTTTATACCCTATTATTTTTAAGCTGTTGCAAGCCCAACACGACCATCGACGGCATCGACCGATGCAGCTACGTTCGCTGTAAGGCATACCCCACTCCGTTGTCCGTTGTGTCTCGCCGCCTGTATCGATGGTTGTCGAAATAACATGTTTTGATGTTTTCCATCCATACTAGTTGTTTTTTGGAATTGCCGACTTCGTTTCACGAACGGTCGATCTCTACGTGTCGTAATTTTATATCTGTTAATTTTTAAAAGTAGTAACGGTTGCATGTTATTTGTAAATAATTGTTTTAAAATAACATATAGTTAAATAACAACCCATCACTAGTCGCGACAATATATTTTTCACTCTGTTTTATACAGGTACGCACGAGAAAGTTATTACTCTACAAAACCAAAGAAACCAAACGAGAAGTTATTACTCTACAAAACAGTTAAAACACATGTAGATGGCGCCCCCTACAAATAGGAGTCATATTGACATCAAAATCAAATTTTTCATGTCAAAAAAGCCAGACACCAATTTTCATCCAAATATTGACGTTACTTCACAAATTATTTGGAAAAAATCGAAATAAAAATGAAAGTTCTACACCCTCTATCTCCGAAACTGAGCATTTTAAGACATACATTTATACGAACTTTTTTACTTATTTTTATCTGCAGAATATGCTGCCAAAGTTATTTCCGGAATACAGTCCGGAATATCCTATATATTTCACTTAGTTACTTTAAAATAATAAATTTTGTAGTTTATATTTCTACAAATTTTATTACAAATCATAAAATAGTAACCAAGCTCCATTTAAAGTGCCCTTTCTCATATCGACTTTCTTCATTTTATTAGAGTGGTTCTGATAATCTGAACAATTTAAAAAGCTTGACCTATTTCTGAACGACTCCTCTGCACCAATGGAATCATATATAAAACGATAGTATTTTAGAAACTTCCTCTGGCAGAAATTACATTTCCAGTTCAATATGTTAGAAACGAGATACAAGGAAGTTGTAAGTTTGCAGGAAATAAAATCGGTCATAGATAAATATGATGTTCGATTTATATATATTTATATACTGCAACTATGTCTGAAGAGTCAGAAGGCAAGATTTAATAAATTAAAAATAAATACGAAACCAAAAGATTTTAATGAGAAAAAACTTTATACTATATGCGACAGGTCAAAAGATTGTTATCAGATTATATTTTTCAGCCTCGAACTCGGGACACCCTGTATAGTAAACAAGTTTATAGGATTTTATTTATATAAATATACAGGGTGATCCGAACTGTATTCCGGAAACTTCGGTATCATATTGTGTAGATAAAAAATTTGCGCCGGGAGGCACGTATAGCCGCCCATACTAAAATATGTTAATAAAAAGTTGTTAGGCAGTTCTTTTAGTTTCAAAGTAAAGGAATTTTTCCAATTTTTTTTATCTCAAAAACTGCGACTTTGACTGATTTTGATGTTATTACAAATTTTGTTGCAAATATTATTCCTAATCTTAAATTGAAAACCGCGTTTCGCTAGCTACTATAATTTTGGAGTTACGATTTTTTAAAATTTTTATTTTTTTGATTCTAAGTATTTCGAGAACCATTGTTCGTTGCGATTTTAACTAAGAGGTCCTTTTTACGCAAAAAACGTTGTAAATGTATATTTTATATTCAGTAGTTTTATACAGGTGCGGACGAAAAGTTATTACTCTTCAAACAAGTAAAAAATATGTAGGGGGCACCCTGTACAATTAGGAGTCATATTGACATCAAAATCAAATTTTCCATGTCAAAAAACTCTCACACACTAATTTTCATCCAAATATTGATGTTACTTTAGAAATTATTTGGAAAAAATCGAAATAAAAATGAAACTTTTACTTATTTTTATCTGCAGAATATGCTGCCGAAGTTCCGGAATATAGTTCGGACCACCCTGTATAAAAGCAAATTGTTTCAGGTGGGTTCTTGGTACGCAATGACGGGGTACGGATTGGCATTTCCCAGAAACTCGAAATACTTGAAAATGTTCAACAAGAGACTGTTAGATTTCCGTGAAAATGGTGACTTGGAACGACTAAGAAGGTACTGGATGACTGGTGTTTGCAGACCAGGAAAACAGGTAAAATTACTAAGGAACACTATCTACTTATTTGTTAAAACATACTCATTATGACAATTTATAGCAACTCTAAATATCTAACCAAAAGAGCTTAAAAAAATACAATTAAAAAAATACACCAAAACATTTAAAGATCGTACATATTATAGTTACTCAATTTACATATATTTAATTTTATCTTCAAATATTTAGTTAGATTAGTTAAATTTAGTAAATTGTGCATAATTTATCTAATTGTGAGACGCATTTCCTTTTTAGGAACATAAAAGTTCGGATCCCTTGGCTTTAGAACAGTTCTTATCGGCTTTCCTACTCCTAATGGCCGGTATACTTCTGGCAGCATTGCTGCTTTTCCTAGAGCATCTGTACTTCAAATACATCAGAAAACACTTGGCCAAAACAGACAGAGGAGGATGCTGTGCTCTCATCAGTTTGTCAATGGGCAAAAGCCTCACTTTTAGAGGTAACTTCAACATAATTATTTTTAATTATATGCGGTAATATTTTCTAGCATACATTTATAAGCATTAACAAAATAACATACATTTGGAATTTAGTATTTTATTAATATAATTTTATACGATCTAAAAATATTGGCACACATTAATAGTTATTTTTTATACAAGACGATAAAATGTTATTTTATCGCCGACCGGAAAGATTTCGGTAGGCGATAATGCAATTTTATCGTCGTGTATAAAACAATATTTTTACCACAGCGAGTTACATTTTGAAAAATATTCCGAAATTATTATTTCAAGGAATTTATTACGAGTAGAAAAAATATTGTGCTGGGTTGGCGTTGGTTTTTTGATCTATGTAATTTGACAAATAAATAAAGCTGTCCCTTTAGTTGTCAATTTTGAGTCAATATTTTTTAATTCTCTTTCGTATCGATTGCTGATTGAATTGGAGCCAGAAATGGCCCAAAACGAAATAAGTAAATTACCCACAGATACTCAAACGCCATATTCAAACTACTTCCATTTAAATCCTGAATTACTTATGAAAAGGAATACAAAAATTTAAAAAAATGGAAGCAATTAAAAAACGTGCGAGAAGATATAAAGTTTTTAACCTATCCTCGCGGTTAAAATACTATTTTATCTACTATTTTTGATAGATATAAGGCAACAGTTGCTATGGAAAAGAAATATTTATTTTACTACAATATTTTATTTTTTAACAATCCGATAGGCGCGTATTTTAGAAAAACTTAAACGTATTATAAAAAAGGACCCGAACGTAACACGTTTTTAGTATACAAAATAAAAAAATATAACTTTACCAACTCACAAAAACTAAATCATACCTAACATATTATAATAAAATAAACCAAACAGAACCTTTTTTCAAAAAATATATTTTTAAACACCGGAAGAAGGTGAAATTATCGTCTAAATGTAAATTTTATATGCTCTTTTTAGTTAATTTCATCAATTATATTTTTGAGCTTAGAGAAACCCAATTTTAGGCAAATTTGACGTTCATTTTTTACAATACTCTCTGCCATAGAGAGGTCTGTATGTTTGAAAATCCATCAATATCTCGCAGTCAGTTTTTTCTCTCAACTTAAAAAAAAATATTTTTCTCTCTTCCTGTTTTAGTTCCGTGCATTTCCGCAGTCAATTTTTCTTCCACTGACACACTATTAACGCATACCTAGAGATTTTTCAGGCGTTTTTTCATGGGAAAAATGCAAAGTTCCTGCCGGCTGATCGATGGAAAATCCATGTCAAATTATTTTTCCGTTAAAAAATTTCTTGCAGTGAAATAGAAAAACGAAAAAAGATTTCTCTATCATATTTATTTTTAGTTAATAGTGTTCTGCGGGGAGACTCAAAAAATATCAAATAAACTGTTATTATTATTTTACACTTTATAAAAATATTTTTCAACCAGATTTTCAACCAATATTATTTTATTGACACTATTAAGGCAAAGAAGTTGTAAAAAAAAACTATAGTTCATACCAATTAAACTCATAGTCACGTGATAATAAACTAAATAACCTTAACCGGCACAGCGTTGCCCACTTTTACATATTTTCTTTTAATCAAAATATTTTAGGAAACAAAAATAAATTAATTAGTAATATACGGGGTGGTCCGAATTGTATTCCGGAAACTTCGGCAGCATAAAATAGGTAAAAAAGTTAGTATAAATGTATGTCCTAAAATGCTTAGTTTTGGAGATACAGGGTGTAGAAACTTCATTTTTATTTCGATTTTTTACAAATAATTTCCGAATTAACGTCAATATTTAGATGAAAATTGGTGTGTGGGAGTTTTTTGACATGAGGAATTTGATTTTGATGTCAATATGAGTCCTACTGGTAGAGGGCGCCACCTACATGTGTTTTAACTGTTTTGAAGCGTAATAACTTTTTGTCCGTACCTGTATAAAACTACCGAGGGAAAAAATATACATCTCTGTGATTTTTTGCGTAAAAAATATCTCTTTGTAAAAATCGCTACGAGCAACAGTTCTGAAGATATTTAGAATGGGAATAGTCAATACATGCTACTATTGACGAAAAATAAACACGCGTTGAGGGGATAGTTATTTCACTGAAATAATAAATTTAGGAAATTTTAATTTTTTTAAATTAATCATATTTTTTCTGCAAAAAAATTATGATAAAACAGTTTCTGTTGAACTTTTAGCACGAAAACATTTCAAATTTATGATTTCAGTCTAATAACTATTGAGTCAACATGTTTAATTTATGTCAGTGATGACAGGTATTGATAATTTAGATTACAAATATCTCGAAAACCATTACTCGTAGCGATTTTTAACAAGAGACTTTTTTTACGTAAAAAGCGTCGTAAATGTATATTTTTTTACTCAGTAGTTTTATACAGGTACAGACGAAAAGTTATTACTCTTCAAACCAGTTAAAAAATTTGTAGGTGGTGCCCTCTACAAGTAGGAGCCATATTGACATCAAAATCAAATTTCTCGAATCACAAAACTCCCAGGCATCAATTTTCATCCAAATATTAACGTTATTTCATAAATTATTTGGAAAAAATTGAAATAAAAATGAAACTTCTACACCCTGTATTTCCAAAACTAAGCAATTTAAGACATACATTTATACGAACTTTTTTACTTATTTTTATCTGCAGAATATGCTGCCGAAGTTTCCGGAATACAATTGGGACCACCCTGTATAAACAGTTATTAAAACAGAAGGAAAAAATTTAATCGGCAAGCCCTCAACAAACTCGTAACCGTATACACCAATGTACACTGTTGTAGACATTCACACTCACACACAACAAACAAACCTACATCAGTGTACACTAGTGTAACTGCCTTCCAGCATCATTAGTACGGTAAGGAATCAGCAAGCGATGACAACGATCCCAAAAAATATAAACCAGGAAGCAAACGATGCACAGGAGTTACCGTTAGCACTACCGTTTCGGAGTTACGGGGTGTTTTTCAAAAATATGCATTTTTAACAAATCGCTGTAACTTTTTTGTCATGGAAAATTTTGTTTTTTTATGAAAACACACCTTTTTACGTAGAATTTAATGGTTTTGATTTTTTACATGGGACACCCTGTACATTTTTAATTTATTGAAAAAAATTTAACCAAACCAAACCAAAAATATAACACACTTGATATTTTGCTCGATTCCTCTTCGAGATATAGAGTATATAAAAATTCGCCCTCTTTAAATAAGTAGGCTTTGAACGGCACCGGCTGTAATGCAAAAAAATTCTAGCTGTGAGCATCAATTAAAACGAAAATAATATTTGCTATGAGAGATGGAGAATTTTATAACAATTTAAAATATATTTAACCAACATCAACACATTTAAACTATATCTAATAAAAATAAAACTAAATAGCAAACCAAGACATAGATTTTGCTACAGGTGTTCGGCATATCGGCCGTCTTTATGGACAGACGGGTCAGTTTTTGAACATTTCTCGCGGAATTCATTAACTCAGTGGGAATGAAAGATACCCTCTCATAACTGCTAAGTATTTTTAATTCTTGTCTAGATTATATGAAAGAATAAGGAACCTTTATTCTTCCGCAAATATATCCATAGGATTAGATCCATGGGCACTAAGTTAGGCGGCCTCGACGGCCAATGGCTGGGATCTTGGTTAGCTATTCAATTATTCTTGAAATTGGCTGCAAAAATTTGCTGATAATTTCAGCGTTCAGAGGCGGTGCGTCGTCTTGCTGGAAATATAACGTTTTCGAGTTCCATTAAGGGCATATCATCAATAAGGGGTCCAAAGCCTACTGTTAAAAGTGGCGAACTTTTAAAAATTCAGTATTTCGAAGGGGACTATAACGAAATATCAAGTGTGCTATATTTTTGGAAAGGCAACTTTAAATTCTTTTCAGTTAATTAAAAATATAGAGGGTGTCCCAAATAAAAAATCAATTTTTCTGTTGATAACTCTTAAATTATTAATTTAAAAAAAATTATACTTAAACCATTAAATTCTACGTTAAAAGGTGCTTTGGAAATGTTTTCATAGAAATACAAAATTTTTCATAGCAAAAAAGTTACAGCGATTTGTTAAAAATGCACATTTTTGGAAAACACCCCGTAACTCCGAAACGGTAACAGATATCGATGTACGGTTTTCACCATCATGTTTTTGATAAAAATTGAGCTCCAGACACCGATATTAGTTTTCGTCTATCTCCTATAGAAAAGGGTGTTTTCATTTAAAAGCGTCGAATTTGACCCACACTGTACATTGGTGTGTACGGTTACGAGTTTGTTGAGGGCTTGCGAATCAAATTTTTTCCTTCTGTTTTTATATATTCCCCTCACTATTTCAATTTTTATTTCGTTTTAAACAGTTATTATTTACATCAACAAAACTCGCTTTCTTAACAGCTTTCCCGTTCAAAATATTCTAATAAGGTTGCGATGAGTTTTTTACGGCTATTAAGCTATCTTGTAAATTTCGCACTAAAAGAGGTTCTAAAAAGAACAATGTTCGAATGCAAGGTCTGCTAGTAAAAACGTTTAAGCTTAAATTATCACAACACAATTCATTTAAACCAAAAACACAACTAAAATTTCAAAACGAATGTCTGTCAAGAAATAAATAATGTGGCAACTTGACATTTTTGACAGCAGAGCTACCACCTGAATCCCAGCGGGAAATTTAAATTCCAATTAGCAGCCAGGCACCGAATATATCCATGGTTGGCAACAATGAATTTAAAAATGGCGCCCTCGATTACGCAACTAAAAGTTTCATTTTTATCGCTTAGATCCTTATGCAAAATTTTATATTCTGTTAGAATACGTCTTAGTTTAAGCTGAAATTTTAAATGTCCAAGGAATATTAGGACATCCTGCCTGTATATCATAATAACGTATATCTTTCAAATTAATATAGCCTTAGATACATACATAAGTCTTAAGAAAATTAAAGTCGTCTTTCAGTAATTTAAGTTTTACGATGGTCTGAACGAGTTACAAGACATAATTACTGCTATAAGTTGACTGAATAAGTCAATTACTTGGAGCTTGGAGGGCTAATTAACTTAAATGTCGATTCTAATGCAATTTGCAACTTTAGATGGACGGCTTATGTTTGTTGACATATAGTATCCTGTTCAACGATTAATTAAACAGCTATTGGGGACGCTGAAGTGCTTCCAAGAGTGCCCATTAAAATAATGAAGTAACTCAAGACGTTGTTAATGCGCTGTAATACAGGAAAAAAGAGCAAAATACTAGTTGATGTAATTGACGGTTTTTAATTTGCAAATTTAATGTCCCTGTTTGAGAAAAAAAACTAATTTTTGAAGTGACTCTTCATTACGTGCGATGGGAGTAAGCTTCATCTTCTTCCTATAGTACCACCTTCTAATGAAAGTTGGCAACAATCGCGGCGAAACACTCTCTGTCCTGTGCAGCTCGAAACAGTTCGTGTGAGTTCAGTCCAGTCCAGTCTCGTAAGTTTTTCAACCAAGAGTGCTTCCGTCTCCGAAGTCCTCTTTTGCCTTCTACCTTTCCTTCTAAAATCAACTTCAGAAGCTTTGCTCTGCTATTGCGCATGACATGGCCCAGGTATGCTGTCTTTCGTTTTTTTTTATATTTGCAAGTAATTCCCTTTCCTTGTTAAGCCTCCCAAGAACCTCTTCATTGCGTATATGATCTGTCCAGGATATTTTCAAGAAAGTCTTCTGTAGATTTTTCACATTTCAAAAGCTTCCATCCGTCTTATGGTGTTCATTTTACTCGTCCATGTGTCACGGCCGCACAGTGGGGTATTTGACACAGATAGTTGATCGAACTTTTTTTATGTAGACCTTATATAAATTATTGCTGTTTTCAATTAAAGAGGAAATAATATGAACAAAATAAAGGATAATTCGTCGATTCTAAAAAAAGAAAGAAAAATCACAGTTCCAGTGTTTCCACGGTCAATGCCACTAATGCCAGTAGTAATATCGCAACTAATACTACTAATGCTACGACTGATCCGCGAGCAATGCCGATACCACTAAAGTCGCTACTAATGCCAAATTGTGCTATACTGCTAATGGCACTAATGCGATCGCTTTGTACACAACAATGCCATCGCGGTTTACACCTCGCATTAGTATATCACTGATTGACAAATTAGAGGAAGCTAAGAATGTTTTTCTCATTTTATCAGCAAAGTAGCAAAAAGTCGCAGTATTTTATTTTACTGTATGAAATCCCAATGTTTACTAAGTAAAACGTATATAGACAATATGCTGAATTTTTCGAAATGCGCAACTAAATCTCTAAGTAATCCTTTTTGTAGAATACATACCTGCAGCTTGCTGAGCCATTTTCAATCAAAACAATAATATAAACGTAAAAAGAGCACAAGAACAACAAAAATTTATAATTTTAAACATAAAATTTAGCCATTTACCTCTTATCTGTGAGAAGTAACAACTTTGACGTTTTACCCCAGTGCAGTTATGACATTCACGATGTTGAAATTGCAAAATTTTTTAGAAAGCTGCGACTATTGAAAATAGTTAGCCTTAGTAACCCTTATTAACATACTAAAAGTCCCCATTTGTCCGGTGTGTGCGTCATCAAAAAAAAATCGGCCGCTATCTTAAATTTTGGTACTTTTTGGGAAAACATGTAAATAACTCGAAAACGGTACGTTTTAGCGAAAAACTTTAAGAGGTAAAAATTGAAGAGAATTAAAAAATCTATCAGATTCATTAAAAACTAATTTAGTTTCGCAGCGAAGGTTCATCTTATGCAATTTTAAATCTGGAAATATTCTAGATTCAAGCATTCGCGAAGCAAAAATCGTAGAGAGTGTAAAATTTTATTTAATAGGTTACTTTTTTACGTTTTTATTTTAATGAAAATAAATATTAAAAAACACGTCATTAAAGTCTGGAATTTGTTTGTAGATAACTCCATTATATGCAATGAATCGTTTATTATTTTGTCTCTGATCAGAAGAGAGTTGCTGTAAAAGGGAAGGGTTTAAGGACATTAGCTAAGGCCAGTCTAGAACGGGATGACAGGAAAATTGCGTGTTTTAAAAATATTGCAGAAACATTTCTACATAAAAAATGCAGACAGAACTATACAAGAAAATCTAGTATAGAAGCTGACAAAAAGAAAATAAAATCCAGCTTAGAAAAGGATTCTTTGAATTTGAGAAGCGCTGCAGAAGAATTTCAACAATTGCAACAATGCTTATTTTGTGTAAAAAAATGTGAGAAAAAAACTGCTAATAGAAAAAAGTTTTCTTGTATAATTACTATTGAAATCAAAACCAAAATCTTGCGATGCTGTGAACAAAGGAATGACGAATGGGCTCAAAATATTCGATGAAGAATAGAAACAGAGTGCGATCTAGTAGCTTGTGAAGCGAGGTATCATAGTGACTGTTATGCAACTTTTTCTATGTTGACGACTGATAACAAAAATTCTGGAAGGCCAAGGGTAGAAACTAATTTAATCGGTTTGGACAAGGTCTTAGAATATTTAAATGGATCCAAAGATGATGTGTGCTAATTTTCGTTGAATGATCTTTACGCCAAATTCAAAGTGTTTGACAAATGAGGACTTTTAGTATGTTAATCAGGGTTACTAAGGCTAACTATTTTCAATGGTCGCAGCTTTCTAAAAAATTTTGCAAATTCAAAATTATTTGCACTGGCCTATTTCGTTGAAACGAATGAATGCAACTAAACACACCCATAGCAACGCCATTCATGGCAGACATGATTTAACTTATCATTTATCTTTTTTTGGGAAATCTTAAACAAATTTGCTTTTTCGAATTTCGATCACCTTTTTCATGCTAATACCCCACCGTGGGCCGTATAAGAGGATTGAGTATACATAACAATCGACAAAACGCAGACGTATGTTGATGTTGAGTGGTCGGTTACATAATAACAGGAGTAAGCTTAAAGCTTTATTTTCATGCGCCCGTTATCCGATGATATGATGGTCCGACGACGCTCTGATTGGTTTGGTTTGGATTATTCCTAATCTTAAATTGAAAACCGCGTTTCGCTAGGTACTGTAATTTTGGAGTTACGATTTTTTTAAATTTTTAACCCCCTCCCATACCCCCTTACCAACCCCCCACCCCCACCAAAAACTAATGGCCAGATTCTCGATTGCCACAATATTTTTATGCCAAATTTGGTTAAAATCGGTTAAGCGGTTTTTGAGTTATCGTATTACAGATATTTTGTATTTAGGTCATTTATGACACAAATAACTCATTTTGAGTGAAATTAAAAAACTTTTCTTTTGGCGATATTAATAGCCTACCATACCTGTTGGTATGGTCGGCTAAACATATAATCTTTATATGTATGGAACCCTAGGAGGGCGAATCACTTGTACGTTTTTTTAATAAAATTAAAATTTTGTCCAACCCTAGTTAACTCTAACTTCCAGATTTTTTTTTGAACTAGGTGCAGTGTACGAAGCTCAAGACATCCTGAAAAACCACAGATGTAGAGATCCAATCTGCGATACACATCTGTGGAAGGTGAAGCGTGAACTAGATGTAGCGCAGATGCGAATCAAACAGCTGGAAAAAGAAATGGAGGTGCATGGTATCAAACCTCCTCCCTGCAAACGGTAAGGAGGTAGAGAAAGCATGATTAAAAATAGCCTTCCTCACATCAAAATATCCAAAAAGAGAAAAATATAATATATAAAATTAAAAGAAGTAAATTCTGATATTAAATAACGTATAATCGAAAAAAACGGCGTCAAAGATTGCTGGGGAATAACAATCGATGATAATTTTGGTGAGGTGAATCTTATTTACTAAAAATTGACATAAAACTTGTCAAAAATTAACACTAACTATTATTAGACGTTTCTAGACTACAAAATAGACACAAATCTATTTCCAAAAATTATTTTTCTCGAGTTTTAAACTATACCATTTAAAAACCATTTTTACTCAATATAAAAATAAATAATAATGTTTTTAAGGGTCTATTACGCTGTACTGTTTCTGTACTTGTTGCTCTCAGGGGTCGGGTAAAAGGTGTGTGGCCGAAGGAAATATATATTATATTTCAGAAATCTGCCTAAGACTTAGCCCGATCCTGTCTTGCTAACCCACACCCAAAATTCCAAACACACGTGCTTTGATTAAGGTTTGCAGAGTTTCGGAATTTGTCATAAAATAGCGAGCAATTTGTTACAAAACCATATAAATTATATATCACTGTAATCACAAAACTTCAGTCTATTTCCGTATTGTAACGGAATTTTAAATTATATCTTTATTTTCGAGAAAATTTAGTCCAAACATAAGGAATATTTTGTTGATGTTTGACCGTCAAAATCTTAAAAATAAAGTTGTCTAAAAATGTGCTACAATACGGATATAGTATAATCCTTTATCTTTAATTTCCTCCTTCATTTGTGTAAAAATACCTTGCCAGTTTTACATAAAACCAGAGATATGGAAGTGGGAGAATGAGCTTCGACGAGTGCGCATCCAAATTTTTGTCGACAGCAAGATGGCAGACATCTTGCAGGTCTCGCTGTCACTTCCCCTCTTTAATTGACATCTGTTTGTTTTTTTTTTTTTTTCGTTTGTGTTGTTATCTAGTTAAAATTTATTATTATCTCAATTATTCTAAACACTAATTCAAAAAGGCTTGTTGTATATTGTCATTCATTCTAACAAAGCTAATACGCCGGGAAAAATGATTAGTTTTCATGTGTAAGTTTATACAACATAATCGTGTTTACAGATGATCCAAAACTGTTTATTTTTAGTTTTCCTAAAGGCGATTTGTAAAAATCATGATTGAAATTGGGAATGGTCAAAAACCAAGTGTGATGTGGCCATTTGAAGAGGATGTTTTTATTACATGTGGAGGAAGAAGATACTTAGAATCAATGTTCGTGCTTCTGTAAAACAGTGCACTCTTATAGTGTCCACGAAAGCACCAGGATTGTCAATCCCATGTTTTGAAATAGATAAAATACAGGCCAAAGTATTACAGTTGAGAAGAAACTATTTTTTCTTAAAATTTTTTTCTTAAAATTCTGAGATCATATAATCTAATTTTCTTAATAATAAATTAGGTATATGTATGTTGTACATACAGAATTTTGTTATGGACAAATAAGGATCGGCACGCTTCTTTTGTGCAAAAAATAAATGATTTTTTCTAGTATTAAGACAAACCATAATGTGTTTTACAAACTTACCGGTAACAGTTTTTTTTTATAATAAAATATTTAGGAATAATTTGGGTTGCTTATCAATATATTAATGACTTGAATTTTGACAAATTGAATTTGTATCAAAATAATTTTACGAAATATAAAATTGATGTTCTATTTACAAGATTTAGAGTTTTTATTGTCGACAAAAACCAGGATAAATACTAATAATAATATCCTTAATAAAATCACTGATGTTTATGTATTATGAAAATATTTGTTGGAGGACATGTTATGTAACAGTTTTTGTAACACAATTTGAAGGGATGAATAAAAAAAATAAAACAAAAACATATTTTTTTCTAGGTTTATATTAAAAATACAAGGTAATCATCAAAAATAATTATGAACCAAATGTTTTATGAATCTACAACTTGAACAAAAAGTTGTTTAGAACAATTTTTACCAAATTTGCAAATATTATAAATTGAAACGTAGTACAAGTAAACATGAAATAATTGTAAATACTTATTTAATGGCATTTCGAGTGTTTAACGACTAAGAAAAGTTCATCTGTCCGTAGCGTCTTTTGTCAGAATATTCGTATATTTAGTGTATTATATACCAATATTGTACGCAGTTTTGAAACTGATGATAATTAAATAAATCATATTAATGTTATCTAACCATAATAAATGATAGAATTTCACTAAATTTAAATTGCCCCCCGTATGGTTGAAAACAGCAAATTGATATTTGATTACTTATAGATTACCACTAATGACCTCTAAATACTTAGATGTCATTGATTACCACCTATATACAAAATGACACGGAGACCTGGAATATGGCGCCCAACTTGATTATACCTTCTGCGCATGTTGACGCTCATTCTCTATCCCTTCTATTTCTCTGCATAAAACGCTAAAAGCCGAACGCTTATTTTGTTACTTTTTCGGAATAGTGAAATGGACTCTTAAAACCAACCTGCAGTAAACGCCGCTAAAAAATAAAGAAGAGTACGGGCCAAGTAATGAGTCTAGAGATTGATCTCCCCAAAATTATGATGGATTGTTATACCACAGCCGTTTTTTTTTCGATCGTGTGGCACTTTTTTAATAAAAAAAAATCCTTATAATTTTAGGACTTTTAAAAAAACTCATTTTTTAATGTCAAATATTTGTTTCTTTTTATTTAACAATTTCACGCATTATAAAATTGTTTGGTCGTACAAAAATATATATAAAAAAACTATCTTAAGACTAGACAATCAAAAGTAAAGTAAATAAAATAAAATTTGAATAAACATCCCTAAAGCTTTAGAAAAGCTTTTGTCTATAGTCTGTTCAACGACAGGATTCCTGACAGTGACAATTGTGTATGTCATTTTAATTCACAGTCAAATTGTATTTTCTGTCATTTTTTGAATGTTATCTGTCTAAATCTTCCCTGATTCGTAACACAGACTATATATTGATTTATATGGCTCTATTATATCGCCATAATTCGGCTTTGTAGAGCTAGTGGCACGCTTTAATCGTAAAATAGGCACAAACGCTTGCTTATATAGTGCAACAAAACGTTTCGCAGCTTAGAGCCAAACTGCTTCAAAACGGATACACAAAGTTTAACTAAAGTCTTATCTAATATCACACTCTTATGTAAAAAAATGTGTGTGCACGATGTGTGCATATATGAAGTAAAACTTCTTACTAACAGCTATTAAATTAATAAATTAAGGGATTGGACATGTTTGCAAAAGCAATAAATTAAAAATTAATAAATAAATAACACGGCATTTTGCAAAAAGACTAGGCTAGATTATAAAACGGCGCGTTTTTTAACAAAAGAAGGATATTTTACCAAAGAGCCTATCTGTTTTCAGTCGTTTTGCAAAATGCCTAATGAAGACTAGTCAGAATGCAGAAAAACATTTTACGTGGGATTGGTATAACCACAGAATATCTAGCTACGCAACAGAAGCCTCGTTACACGTATAAAATCGTAGGTATCAAAAGGAGATAGGCTTTTAAAGCCTGTCTCCAAATCAGATATTTTGATGCGGTAGTTTCGCTATTACATAATAGAGGGCAATAAATTTAAAAGAAAACAGTTTTCTACAAACGAAATTTAAAAGAATTTTATGCAGTGTTGCCATTGTGTAATTCATATTGTAATACTTCCTTATAAAGCCTACCTTCAAATTTGCTACATCATTTAAACATATTAAAATAGATCAGAGCTCTTTTTTCAAACTTTTAGGTATTTAACTTGCCATGTTGGTTGGAGTTAAATCTTACGAGCTGAATTACAATCACTTTGTGAAGTTTGATTGTAATTGAATTTCCTGGCGTTCGATTGGACTTATACTTTGGTATAGTAAGTATTCGGTGACATTGTAATATGATGGTACTATGATGCATATAAACTGGTACCTTAATATAGTACCATATTACGATACCGCTTCCTCAAGTTCGATTGGGCTCATATTTGATTATACTTGCGTATTTTTGATGACATTGCAATATTATGGTACCATGAAGTACATCAAGAGGTACCATAATGTAGTGCCATATTACGATACCATTTCCTGGCGTTCGATTGATCTTAGACTTTGTATACTACGTGTGTTCGGTGACATTGTAATATGATGGTACTACATTATGCATATAAAGTGGTACCTTCTATAGTACCATATTATGATACCACTTTCTGACGTTCGATTGGGCTCATATTTGATTATACTTGCGTATTTTTTATGACATTGCAATATTATGGTACCATGAAGCATATCAAGGGGAACCATAATGTAGTGCCATATTACGATACCATTTCCTGGCGTTTGATTGGGCTTAAACTTTGTATGCTCTGTATGTATGCTTTGTTTCTCTATGAATAATTCATAATAACATAACTTAGAATGAAAAAAATATATACAGGGTGGTCCGAACTGTATTCCGGAAACTTCGGCAGCATATTCTGCAGATAAAAATAGGTAAAAAAGTTCGTATAAATGTATGTCCTAAAATGCTTAGTTTCGGAGATACAGGGTGTAGAAGTTACATTTTTATTTCGATTTTTTTCCAAATAATTTCTGCAGTAACGTCCATATTTGGATTAAAATTGGTGTCTGGAAGTTTTTTGACATGAGAAATTTGATTTTGATATCAATATGACTCCTACTAGTAGAGGGCGCCACCTGCCACCGTACCTCTATAGTGAGTAAAAAAATATACATTTACAACACTTTTTACATAAAAAAGGTCTCTTGGTAAAAATCGCTGCGAGTAATGGTTTTTGAGATATTTGGAATCGAAATTATCAATAGCTGTCATCACTGACATAAATTAAATATGTTGACTAAATAGTTATTAGACTGAAATTATAAATTTGAAATGTTTTTGTGACCAAAGTTCAATAGAAACTGTTTTATCATCATTTTTTGCAGAAAAATTTATCATTAATTAAAAAAAAATTAAAATTTCCCAAATTTATTATATCAGTGAAATAACTATCTACTCAACGTGTTTATTTTTCGTCAATAATGGCATGTATTGACTACTTTCATTCTAAATATCTTGAGAACGGTTGCTCGTAACGATTTTTACAAAGAGATATTTTTTACGTAAAAAATCATAGAGATGTACATTTTTTCCTTCGGTAGTTTTATACAGGCACGGACAAAAAGTTATTACGCTTCAAAACAGTTAAAACACATGTAGGTGGCGCTCTCTACCAGTAGGAGTCATATTGATATCAAAATCAAATTTCTCATGTCAAAAAACTCCCAGACACCAATTTTCATCTAAATATTGACGTTACTTCAGAAATTATTTGGAAAAAATCCCTGCATTTTAGCTTCCCATATGCCTTTTACTGGTATGTCGTTGTTGATTCTGATCAAATGTCCATACCACCTAAGCTGACATTGCTCAATTTTATTCAGGATCGAATCTACTTTTAGTTCCTCTCTTATAAAGCTGTTCCTTAGTCTACCTTTCCTTGTTACCCCAAGTACTCTTCGAGATATAACATCTCCATTCTTTGGATCTTACTCTTCAATCTTTTAGTTAATACCCAACTTTCACAGCCAAAAATCAACGTCGCGTCGGTATGAATGATGTGTTGTATACACTCATCTTCACTGCTCTCGAGATTTCTTTTTTATTTAAGAAACTGTTCTTAATGGCTTGATACAAGCGAGACGTGTTGCCGATTCTTTCGATGATTTCCGTCTCTTGTTCTCCTGTGCTACTGATGTTCACTCCCAAATATTTGTATGAATCGACTTCAAATTGATGTCATTTATCTCTATATTCATATTGACTTCTGTTTTACCTAAAATCATAACTTTTGTTTTAATCTCATTGATTTTTAGATTTCTCTCTCCAAGAGCTTCCAGCCAGATATCTAAATTTCTTTTCAGTTCTTTTTCGCTGTTAGCTAAAATTGCCAAGTCATCTGCAAATGCACATTCTTTTATCCAAATTGGTTGTAGATTTCTATGACCGGCGTATACTCTTGTAACAGCTGCACTTGTATCTTTTATTATGTCATCCATAACTAAATTAAACAGGGCCGGGCTGAGGACTCCACCCTGTCTCAGCCCTTCATTTGCGGTAAAAATTTCCGAAACCACATTGTCTGTTCTTACATAGTTCCTTGTGTTTTTGTTTGTAAATTCATTTTATTCTAAAAGAACGCAAAGTTCTACAAAGAAGCAGCCCTGTACACAGAATCGAAGTACAGGGTGAGTCAACGATAGAGTAAAGTCCATTATCTCATTTGTTTCAAGGTTTACAAAAAAACGTTTAATATAAAAGCTATGGGGATGGTTAAGATACACATTTTAAAATTATTATAGAGTATACAAGGTGCTTCAAAAAAGTGTGGCGGTTATAACATATGTTTTTTTAAATGCAACTCTCTATTTTTTATTTAATTTTTAGATTCTGCGTAAAATTTCATAACTTTTTTATGTGTAATGTCATATATCTAAAATTAGTAGTTTTTGTAATATTTCAATTTATTTAAACAAATGTTAAATTGCAGTGTGGTAAAAAATTGTCAGTGGTGCCATTGTTTCTGAAGTTGGAGTACTAAAATTTGGTAGGAGAGTTTTATAGAGATGAAAAAAAAAGATATATGTAAAGATATTTTAGTTAAATGATATTGGGTGTCCAAAATATATTTCTGAACTTCAACTACTTAAAATTAAAAAATCTCAAATTTTTTAAATAGGACACCCTATATATTATCATTTTTTCTGATAGATTTTACAAAACTTTTCGACTTTTATTAAGTATGTCATATCCCTATTTTTAATAGTTTGCGATTTATTCCCATTTTTTCTATTTTTACCCATATTTTTAATACAATTACTCTATAAAATCATACTTTCCATGACAAAACAAAACTATTTATTACTTACCTTTAACAAGTAGCTTCATAACTAGTTACAATTGCAGGTATTAGTTAAAATTAATTAACTTTACCCAAATAAACTAAATCGCAGTAGTAAATTTCTTGGTGTATTTCTATATTATGAAACTTGGGATTTTTCGTCGGGGCGAATAGCCACATATTAGGGTAATACTAGATTTCCTAATTTCTGAAGATTACTGATATAGGAATTTTCTTCGACATACAGTAAAGTTTTTTCTCGTAGTAATTCTGGTTTATATAATTTATTTGGTACTGCCGCGAAACCGTCCCAATTACACACTGAAGATGTTTTCTAGATAATATACATCTATTCTTATAGTAGTTAGCAAAGTACTATAATATAATATATAGTACTGAATCAAAAAATGTGGTTTTCTAGGCTTGTCCGTGTATATCACTCACATTGACTAATTAATTTCAAGAAAATCTGTAACTATTATCTCTACCATTTATACTTATTACAACAAATTAAACTAAAATACAAGTTTTGGTCTTAACTTGCTTAACAGACATGAAATTGTGATAATTATTACTTTTTGTCATGGCAACTATGATGTTATAGCGCAATTGTACTAAAAATATGGGTAAAAATAGAAAAAATTGGAATAAATCGCAAACTAATAAAAATAGGTATATGACATTCTTAATAAAAGTTGAAGACTATTGTAAAATCTATGAGAAAAAATGATAATATATAGGGTGTATCATTTAAAAAAATTGAAATTCCTTAATTTTAAGTAGTTGAAATTCATAAATATATTTTGAACATCCTGTAACATCTAACTAAAATATCTTTACATAGTTTTTTTTCTATATCTCTATAAAATTCTCCTACTAAATTTTAGTTGTCCAACTTCAGAATCAATGCCATCATTGACAATTTTTTATCGCTTTACGCAGAATCTAAAAATAAAATAAAAAATAGGGTGATGCATTTAAAAAAACATATGTTATATTCGCCACACTTTTTTGAAGCACCCTGTATACTGTATAATAATTTTAAAATGTGTATCTTAACCATCTCTATAACTTTTATATTTAATATTTTTTTGTAAACCTCGAAACAAATGAGATAATGGACTTTACTCTATAGTTGACTCACCCTGTACAGAGTATAATAATTAAATGAGATATTAATATTAAGGTTTTAATATATTTTGTATTTAAAATTATGTTATTTATAATTAAAATTTATGAAATAGGATTCAAGTTGTTTTAAACATAATGAAATTTTGACATAAATAACTATTGTTTTTGTATCGGAAAATAAGGGGTATTTTTATTAAAGAGTAAATTACTCAATATGATTATGCTCATAGCAGACTAAACTTTGGTCATTTTTAGGATTCCGTACCTAAAGGTTAAAAACGGGAACCCTATTACTAAGACTTCGCCGTCCGTCCGTCCGTCACAAAGGTCTATCTTATGAACCGTTACAGCTAGACAGTTGAAATTTTTACAGATAATGTATCTATGTCGCCGCTATAAGAACTAATACTAAGAACAGAATTAAATAAATGTTTATAAATAAAAAAGTACTTTTACTAAACATTATCTTTTAAGTAAGAATTTTACATAGAATTTTTCAAGTCCTCGGTGGCCGCATGGTTATAGCGTTAGGACTTTACGCTGCTATGACGTTGAAGCCGTAGTAAGGCAGGTTCGAATCCTAGTCAAGGCGAGTTTTTTTAATCGCTTTTTTTTATTTTTACATATTTATTGTTGATAAATACAATTTTTAGTAATGTGTTTCTTCATTTTTTTTAAATTACTTATACGCGCATTCAAAATTTCAGCTAAATCGGAAAAAAGTTTGTAATAATATAGTGTTTAGTGTTGGGGTATAGATAATGAATGGTACGGAATGGTAATTCGTGCGCGAGTCCGATTCGTACTTGACCAATTTTTTAATCTGCCTAATTTTTCATTTGGCATTTTCTAAAATCACTGAAAACAAGGAGTCTTTTGCAGAAGTGTACAGAAAATATCATCATTGTTTAATATGCCTAATTCTGATTAGGCTTTTTGCAAAGTGACAGAAAATAGATAATAGGCTTTGTGTAAAAAGCCGTCGTTTTATAATATGCCTAGTCTTTTTGCAAAAAGCTGGATTATTCAATTTTTAGTCAAGGTTTCTCGCTTTATACTAACTAACTGAAGAAACATACAGGTGATAAAAGAAAAACGTGTTAAAAAATAAGCACATCTTTGCTCTCCATTAACCTACTGCTTTAATCTTTATTCTGAGACTATCACTAACAAGCACGGTACCGTAGATATAGCTCTGCACCTTTTATCTGTATGTCTGATCACTGACGTTTTTTTCTTATCTTTTTTATTACGATTAATCTTGAATGGGTAGGCGTCGGCGTAACACTGGTAACTGCATCACCTCCTGTGTGGGCTCGTCCAAATCACCTGAGTAAGTTTACGACTTACCCCCGTAGACTAGTGCACGATCAGTTAAAGACTTACCCCCGTAGACAGTGTTCGACCAACCAGCTTTCGTTGTTTAGTGTTCTAGCGTTAGGGGAAGTGCATGGAGCATGTTGTTTAGATAGAGATTTTTTTTTGTTACGAATTTGTGTTTGATTTAACAAACAATTTTTGCATGCTAATTTAATATATAGGGTGGTTCGAACTGTATTCCGGAAATTTCGGCAGCATATTCTGCAGATAAAAATAAATAAAAAAGTTCGTGGAAATGTATGTCCTAAAACTTAGTTTCGGAGATACAGGGCGTAGAAGTTTCATTTTTATTTTGATTTTTTCCAAATAGTTTATGAAATAATGTCATTATTTGGATGAAAATTGGTGTCTGGAAGTTTTTTGAGATGAGAATTTTGATTTTGATGTCAATATGACTCCCACTTGTAGAGGGCGCCATCTACTTATCTTTTAATTGGTTTGAAGTGTAATAACTTTTCGGCCGGACCTGTATAAAACTACTGAGTAAAAAAATCTAATTATGATAATAATAAAAAAATTAAATCCAAGTAAACTTCTACACTGTGTAACTCCGAAACTAAGCACTTTAGGACATACATTTATACGAACTTTTTTACTTATTTTTATTTGCAGAATATGCTGACGAAATTTCCGGAAACCCTATACATCGATTATAATCAAAATCCCTTCTTGAAATTTACTAGTCACCAAAAAACAAGAATAATTTAAAACTTTTTTTCCCACTCTTTTTATAATTCCAAACATCTTCCCAGCATATATCGCAAAGCCAGATGCTAGCCAAGCAACTGGCTATTTCAACTCTTCCGTTAGTGTCAGCCATTTCATGGAGAACTTTAAAAACTAAGAACTTTTAAAAGAACCTTAAAAAATAAATAAAAAACTTTCGTCCCAGTAAAAATTATTGCTGCTGCGATGAGATTTGGAAAAACTCTGCTGAAATTTTTATTTCTAAAGTTCCAGCTATATAAAAACAGTCAGAGCGGGGTCTTTTATTTTATATTACTACTGTAAAGTGATGATATTTTATAGAGAAAGAGACATATATGTAGATCTGATAAAAATGTTATTGCTCTTGGATGTTTTATCTTGATTTTTTTGCATTTTGTGATATGGTTATACAGGGTGTCGCAGAAATAAGTGCCAGTATTTTGAGGGGTGATAGATCTCGTTAAAAGAAACATATTTTCTCTTTATCGTTTTTCAAATAAATCTAAAATAACGGAGTTATTTTACTTTGAAAATTTCCAAAAAATTGTTTCCAAACCAAACGAAAATTTTGAGAACCACTGGATCTTTTCTGGATTTTCTTTCTTGTAAATTTAATCTAATACATATGTTGCCATATTATCAAGAAATTATGTTTTTTTAACAAAAAACTAAAAAAAATCCAAAAAATTTTTCAAAAAATTTCTAATTTTCAAACATTTTTTTCGCGAAAAAACCTCATAGACGTGTTTCTGGGGTTGAACTATACTACCAGTTAAAATACTTGCACTTATTTCTGGTACACCCTGTATAGACTTAACGAGTATAAACAAGCATGTATAATGTATATATTTGTATATGTTAAATAATAAATTATTGCATAAAAAAACTACATAGAAATAAAATAAGAAAATTTAATAGTATAGCTACATTTTTTCTAACGTTTATAATCATAAGTTATTAACGAATAGCAATAAACTTGAAATTATTATGAATTGCTCCAAATGCCCCAATATTTGTATTTGTTCAGCCTTTGAGGGTTTTTTTTGTTTAACATTTTATACTTTTTGAACGGAAATTTTAATATACAGGGTGTTTCAAAACAAATGCGAAAAACTTTAGGGGGTGATTCCTTGTTCAAAATAAAGGGTAGTTTGCTTTATAAACGTTGGGTCAAAAGTCAACCATTAGGGAGATATCGCGGTACAAAGATGGCGGAAAAATAATGTTTTTATTTTTTATCTTGAAAACGAAAAGAGATAGACAATGAAATTTTATGGAAGCATTACTGTTATGAAAACAAACTTTCTGGTAATTTTTTCTTTTTTTTTAAATGAGTGGAAGGGGTTGAAATAAACTACCCCTACAATTCTTGTTAACAAAATTTAAAGAAAAATCTTATCAAACACATGCAAAAAAATTAATTTGGTTTGGTTTGGTTTGGCATTACATGTCAGGACAAAAAACATTTTTAGATTAAGAATCTAGTGATAATAACGATAATAATAATCATCTAGATAATAACGTATTGCAGTAGAGTAATGTCAAATAAAATAATATTAGGAACATCCAAAAAAAGTAACAGCGGCCGACTAGATTTTTCCTAAAAAATTACAGCAGCCCACTAGATTCTTTATCAGAAAATGTTTTTTGTCCTGGCATGTAATGCTTTACATTTTATTTTTTAATTTCAAATCGGTGAGTTTTATCAAAAAAATACAAGAGATAAAAAGTTTCTAAACAAACTAAACTATCCAAATTAATTTTTTTGCATGTGTTTGATAAGATTTTTCTTTAAATTTCGTTAACAAGAATGATAGGGGTAGTTTATTTCAACCCCTTCCACTCATTTTAAAAAAGTGAAAAAATTACCAGAAAGTGTGTTTTCATAACAGTAATGCTTCCATAAAATTTTATTAGTCTATCTCTTTTCGTTTTCAACGAGGTTTTCAAGATAAAAAATAAAAACATTATTTTTCCGCCATCTTTGTACCGCGATATCTCCCTAATGGTTGACTTTTGACCCAACGTTTATGAAGCAAACTACCCTTTATTTTGAACAAGGAATGCTGAACCCTGAAGTTTTTCGCATTTGTTTTGAAACACCCTGTATATTCCAACAATGGGTTGTGCCTTATAGGCCAGTCAAATAAGATTTATTTAAATTTGCAAAAAAGTGTTGGAAAACTAATTATTGATTTGATCTGTTCATTTGACGCGGAAGAGAAGTTTTCTAGGTTTCTTAGGAAACTTTTACACCCTGCATCCGGTGTAGAAGTTTCATTTTTATTTCGATTTTTTCCAAAGAATTTCTGAAGTAACGTCAATAGTTGGATGAAAATTGGTGTCTAAGAATTTTTGACATGAAAAAATTGATTTTGATGCCAATATAACTCCTATTTGTAAGGGGCGCCACCTATATGTGTTTTAACTGTTTTGAACTTTGAATAAGAAGACTAAGGAAGGATCATAATGCTATCCATGTATTCATGCATGGTGGGCGGAAAAAGGACTCTAGGGTGGGGATCCTTGACAGTTCTGTTTGACGATTCATTTGACACATTTGAATTTGATTTGAAATTTTGTGGATTTGTCAGTCTTTACGGAGCTTATTTTATGTTATTTATTATTTATTCTACTACTGATAGTTGTATAATTAAGGTAGTAAATCTAGATGGAAATTGTAGCAGAATCCTGAATCCACAACGGGAAATTTAAATTTCAGTTAGTCTGACTAGCCCGGCACCGAATATGTCCTTGGTTGGCAACAATGAATTGAGGTCCATACCTCAAAAATCTAAATCTAAATCTCTATCGAAAAAAAATAGTAATAATATGATTAAATCCCGATGTCCTATACCATTCTTCCACTTCACGTCGTTCCTTCCAATTTTTGAGTCGATTTTTACTGATGGCTACGGAAAATTCAATCGGGATTTTCTTGTGGCAAAGACGGATGACGGAAAACCCGGTCCCGATCGCTTTTCCCGGCTTAACTTAGTTAGAAAACGGCGGAAAATGAAAGGAAAGATAAAGGAAATATCGACGGTCGGGATGAAAATTTAATTGTGAAATATTTTTGAAATAGCTTGGAACGGAAAAGAGTGGAAAATTTAGTTGATTTTCGTTTAAAACCGTAGAAGAAGATTCTTTTATATTTCCTTTATCCACTGAGTACGGTTTTGTAAAGACTGTTCTGTGATCGTTCACCGTTACGTCATCATTAGTTGTCAAATATGAGTTTTAGGGTGTGTCTGAGATCAGTTCATATTGTTTCGAATATTTTAAGTGCGTTCTCTAGACCATATATACTTACGTGGATAAGTAAATCATTATGAAAACTGTCGCAAACATATCAACGACTTCCATTTATCTTCTTTTTTTTTGTTGCACACGCGGTGCAACTCTATCTATCCTTGTAGAGAACCTATCGTCCGCGCGCCAAATTTGAACATTTATTTTAAAAATTTAATCTGTAAAATGCTTATATTTCAACAATAAATTGGACTTTTACTGTCACAAAAATTAAATTATATAAAAAATACATTTAGCCACTCCGTATGAATATCAATATTCTTAGGAAATCTAACCAGAAAGTATGCATGTGGTTTAATATAAATAAAAAAACAACTGAATACTTTACTTGCTTATGAAAAGATAATTCGGGGACCGTTATATTAGAACTTCCACACACCAAACACTTTCTAGTCATTTTTACGAGCATTTAGAAAGTCCAACGAAAAAAATAGAAATATAGTTGCACAAACTTAAAATTAACTTCTCACTGAACACACTTGCATCCTTGGCTATATAAAAGCGATCGATAAAAGAGTAATTAATATAATTTTTAAAATAAAAACGCAAAAAACAAGCGTCGTTACACAATGGAAATAAGATTATGACCAGAGAATATACCTAGCTAGAAAAAGAATGGACTCTGCCATACTGAAAAATGGTCCTACAGAAGTGGCGCCATCTATTGAGTAGGGCTTGTTATAAATAGATCGAAGCGCGGGCTTTTTAAATGAGCGTATTTATTGAATTTTACTCTAAAATATATATAATTAAATTTGATTATTAAATCATATTTTTTACACAAATTCAACAATACTAATAACAAGTATCGTTGTGATGTGTAAAAAATAAGATTTAACAGTATAATTTATACAATTATTAAATAAAATTAATAAGCCAAATATGTGAAATATTATTTATTATTTAAAGTTTTTATTTATAAGTCAAATATTTAAACATCGTTTATTATAATAAAACAAGACCAACGTAATACGCCCAAAGCTTTGTAAATGGAGTAAATATAAATAGGTACTTAAATGATGGCAAAAATAAAAGACTTACATGATATTTTTAGGGCCACAAAAACAAAAGGAATTGTCTAATTAAAACATGATTAAAACACATATAACAAATTATAGTTTGAAAAACATTTTGATAATCATTTATTTGATAATATTATGATTAGCGCTATGACAACGACAATATTTTTTGAGAATTTGACAATAATATGACAATGGGCGTTGGAAACTATGGAAACTACAAAAAAATTCTCATTTAACCCCATCTGGCAATAACTAGTAGCAACTTCTTAACCTAAAAATTAATTGCACTACCACCTAGTGGCTAGGGCTGGAACTGTTTTATTTGAGATTTCCGTGGAAACGGTGGAACCGCTTTTGCTATTTCACTTTCCCGCCCCTGATTATGACAATATGATGACAATGAAAAGTTGGTTTCCATAACAATGTATAATTTGTATTTTCTAAACCGTATAAAATTGTGATTATTTTGGATATACGTGCAACTTTTAATGCGCATGGGCAAAGTAAGGTCTTCGAGAAAGACAAACCTATTGAACGTTTCATAAGTGCAATAAAGAAGGTTTGAAAATGGCATGTCGTGATGTTGGAGACATATTTTTTAATGCTAAACTTATGGCGTTGATTTATCCACGTCAGTATATATGATCCAGGATATCAATGCGTCAAAATTCGTGACTTGATATGTGTTATACGTCGATACTAGTTTTGTACCTTTTGTTAACATTTTAATAGGTTTTTTTCGTAATTAATTAGGATGATACTTACATACACCATAGGCGTAGTCAAAACAATTATCAAAAAATCTAAATATTGCTTCAAACAGCTAGGTTAAGAAAAATATGTGCCACGGCACTGTTTGGTGACATCGGCACAATTTGCTCTCGGATGTTATTTGTCCTTGGATTCCTTAGTCATTGGTGTCAGTACATATAAAGTTCGTGATGTATTATTTCTGGTAGGTAGTTTTATTTAAAGGGTGCCCGGTGGCGTAGAGGTACAGGCTCTCGTCTACCAATCTAAAGGTTGTGGGTTCGAATCCCACACCCGGCATTTCATCAGCCGACTATTTTTATTAAAATAAAAATAGTTTGGGTACCTAGGTCGACTCAACCTTAAATGAGTACTTGGGATTCACAATCCTGAGGTTCATAGGCGGTTGAAGCGTAGTGCTAGCCACATTACCTTCCTTGTATACCGAACGGCTCTAGTATAGCAAGCTGTACCTTGCTACTCCCAAGGCGTTAGTTAAACGCTATACACGGGAGCTACTATTATTATTAGTTTTATTTATCGATATCCCTAAATATGTTTTAGACTTTTTCTAGTTCATTTGTGAATTATACCGTACGATCGAAAAAAACGGCGTCAAAGACGGCTGGGGAATGATAATAAATGATAATTTTGGCAAGGCTAATCTCTAGACATCATTTACTAAGAATTGACATAAAACTTGTCAAAATTAACACTAATTATAGAGAGATTAAAAAAGGATAGTACAATTCCAGACACACAATTTTATTTTCCAAAATTATTTTTTCCCGAATTTTAAACTACACCATTTAAAAATAATTTTTATTCAATATAAAAGTGAATAAACCTTCTTAAACCCAACTGGCAGTAAGCGCCATAAAAATACAGAAGTACGGGCCAAGTAAATGTCGTCTAGGGCTTGACCTCGCCAAAATTATCATCGATTATCATTTCCCAGCCGTCTTTGACGCGGTTTTTTTTTTCGATCGTATGGTATACCCTCTATTTTTTTTATTCTCTTCAAATTTTAACTAAAATGACTGGGCTATGAGTTGGCGTTTAGTCATTTTAACAAGTGGAGGTTTTTTTAAGAGTTTTTCTTTTCTGTAGAAACGAGATGAGGCTTATTTACGCTAATTTATAATTAAATTCGAAATTGAACGTAAACTTTCCAGTCGACTCTGGAATTAATTATAGAGAAGTTTTAAATTGAACGACCAACCCGACGACTGACGCCTCTTTTTCTGGTGTTATTTCCACGGCCGACTTCGATGTTTAATTAAAATTCGATTACTTCGAATAGTAATGGAATGGACGCTTTAGGTTGCGACGACCTTTAAACAGTTCAGGGCAATTTAAAAACTGACAATTTTCAGTTAATTGATAGAACAAAAATAAGTAAATACTGCACTATACAGGGTGGCGCCTCTCATACGCCGCAGAGGCTTCAAGGAGAACGACACTTTGTATTGAAATGAAATTTTGTGAGTTCTGCAGGGTGTCCCCAAAAATGTTACATATCAAAGATGTGTTTTTTTTGTAATGGAACACCCTGTATATTAATTGATTTTCGGATTCTGGGAGAAAAATAAAGATGACTTTTATAAGAAAAGTATATGACTAAAATGTAAGGTTTTTGACATATTTAACATTTTCTAGAAATAAAGAACAATTTTTTAAATTACAATAAAAGCTACCTAAATTGGAATTTACCCGGTATAGCCTAATATGTAGTTAAATGAACTATTGTACTTTAAATCAAATTAAAACTTGATTCAAATAGTTATACAGGGTGAGACAAAATTAATATTGAACCACCCTTAAAAGAATGTTACTCTCTTATTTTAAATGGAACACCCAGTATATTATTCCGATATTCAATGGAGAATTCATGTCTCTTCACAATACTATTAAGGTCGCCTACCCCTCAGACAAAGATTTTCCTAGATATTTTCATTTACATGATTTTATCTGAGTAGATCTTTGTTATTTGATAAAATCTAGGTGGCTGTGATATGTCTGACGTTACTTCAACATAGCTGTCTAATTAGTTCAACTTTAACAACTAGTTATCATTTTGTGTCAGTTAAAACAATAAACAGATTTCTCAGAAATATGCAAACTTATTGCAAAAAATGCAAATTTATCCTACATCAGAGAGAATTGATATGATTCTATTAGTTGGTGAATGCTTAAATGCTCCTGATCTTATCTATCTGGTTTTTTTTTGGGATATGTTAAAGACAGTGTTTACAAAACTCGACCAACATGAGAGAAATTATTGTAGCTGCTTTTCGAGATAGAACTCCACATATGCCTTTTAAAATGAAAAGATCCTTTTGAAAAGGCAATCATTTTATGCAGTTAACAGAAAAGGAAGCATTTTGAGCATTTGATTTCATCTAGCTAATTTTTGTCAGTATAGGTTTATATCTAGCTTTAATTCTGTAATAATTAAAATATGTTTTAAACATGTATCTTTTTATTACCGTTGAGTATTTTACTCTACAATCTTTAATTTTTGTTAAATTAACAAAAGGTATATCACACAGCCATCCTAGATTTTTTCAAATACTAGAGATCTACTGACACTAAATCATTAAAATTAAAATATCTAGGAATTTCTTTGTCTGAACCTGAATAATATTTTGAAGATATATAAATTCCCCACTGAACACCGGAAAATATACTGGGTGTTCCATTTAAAATAAAGGAGTAACCTTGCTTTTAAAAGTGACTAATGTTCCATATTAATTTGTCTGACCCTGTATAACTTTTTGGGTCAAATTTCAATTTGGCTTAACATACAATGGTTACTGTAATTAAATATCAGGCTATACAAGGTCAACTAAAATTTAGGTAGCTGTTATCGAAATTTAAAATTTACTCTTCATTTTCACAAAATGTGAAATATGTCAAAATCCTTAGATTTTAGGTATATGCTTCTTTAATAAAACTCACCTTTATTTTTTCCCTAGAATCCGAAAATCAATTAAGATATAGGGTGTTCCATTAGAAAAACACAACTTTAATATGTAACTTTTTTTGGGGACACCCTGTATAATTCAATATATTTTTATAAAATGGTTTCAGATAACATACATATGCTGCCAAAATTTAATTTCGATATAAACTACCGTTCTCCTTAGAGCTTCCGCGGCGTATGAAAGGCGCCACCCTGTATATTCAACTAGCAAAATGAAATGTTATATCACAAGTTATATCACAGTGTGATATAACTCGTAAGTAAAAGGTAGCTATAACTAGAGATTACCTGTCACTGTAACTAAAAGGAACTCACGTACAGCTGTTATTGTCAAAATATTGAATTTATTTTTAGACGCTTAAATTACATTGAACAGTTAGAAATACTAAAATCTGTTAAAAACGAAAATAATGTTAACGACCAACAAGGATTTCTAAACACATTTTTTATTACCCCTATTGTAAACTCTCTGAACCCACCCCCATAGCAAATATATATATAGTTACAGTGTAGTTAGACGATTAGTTCTTAAAAAACTCTTGAAAAAGGCCTAACAAGCCGAAACATATATGTAGAGTTAAAGTCACTCTTATTAAAAGTTTTTTGAAACATCTAAAAGCGTGCTTTATTAAAATACTAATATTTCAACGATGTTTCACAAGGAACCAACCACAGCTTCAGTAGAATTTATTTCTGACAAAATTTTCGATATTACCTATGGGTTTTTATGTATACTATACCGATGCTAAATATTTTTTTATAAAATATTCGCGACATGATTGAAGCAAAACAGTAAAACTTGAATAATTTAATATTGTTTATAGCATCGTAGTTTCTGGAGAGCAGGCAAGGACACGTCTAAGAAGCTTGGATCCCGATGACAGTGGGAGTTGTTCAGACATAAATGGGTAGGTCATATTGTTTGGATTGCACGATTAATATAGTTGTTTGTTAACTAGTTTTTTGTCCTTGTATTCCTATAGTTCACTTAGTTTTAATAGGTATTTATACAAGTAAATAATCAAGTTTTCTTTAATTGGGTTAGGGCTCAAAATAAAAAAAATATAACATTTTAGTGTAGACATCATTATTCTCTAAAGGTGCGTACTCACTAGAGCATTTTGGTCCGAACGAACCAAGCGAGCCGAGCGCGCACAGACGAACTCGATAGGAAAAGATCGCGATGTTCAGAGTGCTTGTTGCGTTCGCTGTGTTCCCACGTTCAGTTGTATTTAATTTTTATTCGCGCTTTGAATCTCTAGGTTACCGTTCTGCATCGAGTGTGTTAATGGACCCGGAAGATGCTATTATCGCTGCTGGTGCTTTTTTCGATATACAAAACATTACTATTCCATTAAAAAAACAAGCTTTATTGTTATATTCGTTATAATTTGTGTAAATGTACGTTTTCCCGTTCCAATAGTTTTTTTCCTTTCGCCTTCTCCCTTCTAAAAGTTGCCAGAAGACTTTCAATTTTTTGTTCTCTGCTTCTCCAGAAGCACATCCCATGATCTCATCTGTCTGCCTCCATGCATCAAACTTCTAAACTTTATTATAGTATAACTAGCGTGTACCCGCGACTTCGTTCGCGTCGAATTAATCATTTGTAATGGTGATGACAAAGCAAAGCAAGAATTTCCATTAACATACAAACTGGATAAAATTTTCTCACATTTATGTCAGCATGAGAAAAAACAATATGGCGATATTATTATATAACCTGGTAATATTTGAGGGGTAGTTTCATCTCGTTGGAATTTGACTTTCCGTTTGCCAAAAATAAGCTTTTTACGTCAAGCAGTTTAAGCAGAATCGTGGTTAAGAAATTACCCAACTTTTTGAACACCCTGTATGATTTTTTAAAAAATTTCAAACTATGTAAAAAAAAGCAAATAAATTATGCTTGTCCAAGCGTTTTCCCGAAATACTAACCGTTTTTTAAATAACAAATATTGTAATATTTGAGGGGCGTTTTCACCCTCTTGGAATTTGAGATTCGAGAAACCCCCCCTTATCGGACCTCTACACCCCACAGTCAATCCGTTTGCCAAAAATCAGCTTTAAACGTCAAGCAGTTTAAGCAGAATCGTTATTACTCAATGGTCATATTTAATGAAACACCCTGTATAAATATAAAATAAAAAATCTTAAAATATATAAAACAACAAAATGAAATATACGTGCTTAAGAGTTTTTCCGAAAATCTCACCGGTTTTTAAATAAAAAATATTTTAATATTTGAGGGATAGTTTCACCCCCTTAGAATTCGAGTTTCGAAAAATCCCTTCTTATCGAACCTCTACACCCTAAAGTCAATCGTTTTTCCAAAAATCAGCTTTTTACGTCAAGCGCTTTAAGCAGGATCGTGATTAATCAATGACCAGATTTTTCGAAACACCCTGTATACATTTTTAAAAAATCTGAAAATATGTAAAGAAACAAAATAAAATATACGTGTTTAAGCGTTTTTTCGAAAACTTGACCGTTTTTTAAATAAAAAATATTGTAATATTTGAGGGGTGGTTTCACCCTCTTGGAACTGGAATTTCGAAAAATCCCTTCTTATCGAACCTCTACACCCTAGAATCAACCTGTATGCCAAAATTGAGCTTCTTACGTTGAGTGGTTTGAGCAGGATCGTGATTAATCAGTATGTCAGTCACTTAAGGATTTTATATATTAGTATAGATTCATCCTTTGGATTTCAAAGCACTGGATATTGTTCATAAATGTCTATTAACTGAAGGCACTTTTCTCTATTCCACTCCATTTCGTTTGAGCAAAGAAAAAGCAAAACAATGAACATTTTTAGCCGCGAATGCTCCGAATAGGACGAACACCATGAACGTAACGAACCTCCGTACCCACTGAACAACGCATCCCCTTTGAGCAAAATGCATATACCGACAAGCCGGCGAAAATGTTTGGCGCGCTCGGTTCGGTGAAATTTTGCTCGCGAACGCGTATTCACTTGCCGAATTAGGCTCTGCGCGCTCGGCTCGTTTGGTTCGTTCGGAGCAAAATGCTCTAGTGAGTACGCACCTTAAAGCTGCGTCCACATTGCTTGCGAGCAGGCCAAACGAACACTTGAAACACGAAAAACATGGCAAACAGTAGGAGCGAGATGTTCGCGGCGCTTAAGACGCTCGCGGTGCTCCACGTGCTTGCGATCACATAAAATGCTTGTTTCGACTGTTCGGCTCTGCCGCGGTACATCAAAGAGACGCTTCGGAGCCATGCGAGCATACTTTACGGCGGTTCGAAGCGCTCGAGCTGTTTGCGTTGTTTGTTAAGTTTTTAGTTTGGTTTCATTCATAGGATTCGGTATCTACTGCAGTATGATTCGGTATTTACTGATGATACTACCATGATTTTTCTTATTTTATTTTGTTCAGAATTACAAATATTTGTGTTTTGTTCTTGGATTAATAATATTAAATATCCCTTTAATAAAATATAACTCTATATTTATATTGCTTACTTATCTTAATCTGATCTTTGAGAACTTTATTTATATTTTCGCATACGCCTGGTATTATTTTTGAAATACGTTGCATGGAAACTTTGAATCAATAACCCAAACTCGTATGTGAGTCTCTAGTTGCAAAGAATCTTAATGCTATTTAACTCTTTCTTTACCCGGAATACACTTCCTAAGAGTTGTATTTTATCTTTCTATACGGGGGCCAACTAAGTTAATATGTCTTTCAAAATCAGTAGCGGACAATATTCTGTCTGTTTGCAATGCGCATAGATGTTTACGTTCACTGTGCTGGGATCTATTTTTGAAATTATTAGACATCCAACACCGCCTTTTTTCTCTTTGTCTCCTTCGTTTTACAATATTGATCGCATTAGCAGCCGCTATTAAAAATACTTCGGTATCATCCATGTCCGAACAGCACGAATGCAAGCACTACATTACAATGACAAACACGACAAACAGGAAGCGCAAACAATCTGCAATCAGAGGCAAGAGCGCGAGCATTGTGGACGCACCTTAATAATAATATTAAGGATATTGATGGGTTTTCTCTTTTTTCTTCAATTCTGTTTTCTCTTTTCTTTAGACCAACCACCACGGAGATAGCCGAAATGGAAACAGTGCTGTGATGTCAGGACGATACCTACGAGACGGAGGAGATCATCTACATCCTGAACACCAAAGAGAAACTACATAATCTCAACACCAAATACCTTACAATTTGAACAGCGATCTAAGACATCTGATCCTATCGATCAAACCCATCCCTAGATTTTTCTATCGTCCCTATTGTAACCATCTGACACCCTCTAGACGGTAGAGACTATATGAATTTTTGAAACAAATCATCACACCTATAGAGAACCAACCCTGAAGCGTCTTTTTTTGTTTTAGAGAAAAAAAAACATAACAAATGGACTCTTATGAAACTGGTGCATTTTAAATTAATGATGTGTAAAAAAGGGTGTGCGATAGGCAACCACGAACGACAAACGAAGCTAATCAGCTGAAAATATAATGCTCTTAAGAAAAGTCATTATAATTGTTGTACAGGGTGGTCTGAACTGTATTCCGGAAACTTCGGCAGCATATTCTGCAAATAAAAATAAGTAAAAAAGTTCGTATAAATGTATGTCCTAAAATGCTTAATTTCGGAGATACAGGGTGTAGAAGTTTCATTTTTATTTTAATTTTTCCTAATGATTTCTGAAGTCACGTCAATATTTGGATGCACTGTTCGGTTTTTATATGATTCAAAATAAAAAATATATTAATTGTAAAATTAGAAATTTTTTAATGGCCATAATGCGTTCTTTCAAAATCATCGAACAACTAAATCATTTCCATAGATCCAGTGACGTACCGTGACTTTGAATTTTGAGACCAAAAACTGACAAATAATTTGTCGAAAAAATCATATTACAGCTATATGTTTTATTTTGCATAAAAATGTTAACTAATAAGTTAGAATAATTATATTTCTTCCCTAACTAAGTGGTTTTATCGCTAAATTTATCTAAAGCTAAGTACAACACAAATCTTAAATACGTGGACTATTATAACAACAAATATGTCGTAAAAGACTATTTTTGTAGCATTCTGAACGAGGATTCAAGTTAAACTTTTTAGAAAATAATTTAAAGGAAAAATGAACCTGCTCGCAGATGCTTGTTCCGAGTAAAATCCTAGAGCTCTATGATTTGCTTTTATAAACTCTGGCACATGATGCAGAATTGCATGAATCGTTGGAGTTATCTTAATACCTAAGTTGAGTACTTCCAATCTAAATTTTTCGATGTCATGTTCAAAATGTTTGTTTAGTGCTTGACCAAAACAACTCGAAACTACTTGATTGAATGCAGAAAACACTGCAATATATTTATTCCTAAAAAAAAGATGTTTAGGTTTTTGCTCCTAAAAACTTTGAATAGGATTCTTTACCGGGCGATATCGTCTTCAAAATATCCACTTTCTTTAAAAGTTGTCTGGCGTTATTTCCGTTACATTTTCCATAATGATCTAGTTTCAATCCCGCTTTTTTTATCCATTCTGTTGCAACATTGGTATTCTCCAATTCAAGACAATCAAGTAGTTTTTGAACCACACCTAACAAAAGGTGAAGCTCAGGAGGGGGAATATACTTTAAGACAGGTGTTTCTTCGTCGCCAATGATTAAAGGTATGTTTATACAGTTTTCTAAAAAATAATTGCCCTTTTTTATATGGTTCATTGAACAACAGTTTAAAAAATACAAAAAAATATTTCAAACAAAAACGCTTACTAAAATCTTTGGCTTTTGTTATATTTCCTCCAGATTGTTGCCATAAATTTGTATTTTCTGTAATACTTTTTATAGTTCTGAATGATCCTTTAATTTCCATTTCCTTTACATTTACATCACACCATGGGCAAGTGTGAGTGGATGAATTTCACTGAAGACCAAGGAGAATCATAATAAGCTTAAAGTCAGCGGCAAAATTATAGGAACAAATTCCACATATGGACTGCAGATCTAACGTGTCAAAGAGGCCTTTAATGTTAGCATAAGATTCAAACAACTTTGGTCCTAAGCCAATTATGAATAGTTTATTAATTCCAGCACTTTTATATTTCTTGAAATATTCGGGATCATTTTCAGGGAGCACATTCAGACAAACTTTAAGTGATCCACCACCACTATCAATGCCAATTTTTAAATGAAAATCTTCAGGTAATTCTCTAATTTCCAAAATATATGATAGAAGACCAGATAAATCTGAGCAGTATACAAAAATTAATATTAACTGAATTAACATTTTTCCTTTAAATTATTTTCTAAAATAAATAGTCTTTTACGATGATAAAAACCAAAATAGTCTTTTACGATGTATTTGTTGTTATAATAGACCACGTATTTAAGATTTGTGTTGCTTTAGGTAAATTTAGCGATAAAACCACTTAGTTAGGGAAGAATTATAATTATTCTAACTTATTAGTTTACATTTTTATGCAAAATAAAACATATAGCTGTAATATGATTTTTTTGACAAATAATTGTTTCAGTTTTTGGTCTCAAAATTCAAAGTCACGGTACGTCACTGGATCTATTGAAATGATTTAGTTGTTCGATGATTTTGAAAGAACGCATTATGGCCATTAAAAAATTACTAATTTTACAATTAATATATTTTTTATTCTGAATCATATAAAAACCGAACAGTGGGATGAAAATTGGGGTCTGGAAGTTTCTTGACATGAGAAATTCAATTTTGATGTCAATAGAGCAACCGTTTTCAAGATATTTACAATAGAAATGGTCAATACATGCATGTTGTATTGAGTAGATAGTTATTTGACTGAAATGATAAATTTGTGAACTTTATTTTTAAATTAATCATAGATTTTATAATCGATTTTTGTATCGAAAAAATGATAATAAAACAGTTTCTATTGAACTTTTGGCACAAAAACGTTTCAAATTTATGATTTCAGTCTAATAACTATTTAGTCAACATGTTTAATTTATGTCAATGACAAGTATTGATAATTTCCAAATATCTCGAGAACCATTACTCGTAGCGATTTTTACAAAGAGACCTTTTTTACGTAACAAACGTCGCAAATGTATATATTTTTACTCATTAGTTAAATACAGGTACGGATGAAAAGTTATTACTCTTCAAACCAGTTAAAAAAAATGTAGGTGGTGTAACGACCGCCAATTTTGGGCCCAGAAAATAATATTCACTTACTTTATTTCCGCCCAATTCCCCCGTTGGCGTCTACATAAACACTCTTCTTCTTATCTTCCACCAGATGAGTCCATTATTGGGTTCCTGCTCTTGTACTAATTTGGCTTGTTGAAAAGGGAACTTATTTATCAGGTATATTATACCTATTTGTTTAACACAGAAAAACCCTGGAGTATGATTATAAAAAATATTTATTAAACTAAACCACCACTATTAAATGCCTTTTTAATAGTTACTCAATGTTATGAGTAATTTACAATCGATTATTACATAAGTTCTTGGATCATTCGCCGAAACTCGATAGTTAATATTACCCGCCGCACAAAATCAGTCAAAAATAATTGAATATTTTTTTTCTCTTTCTCGCCATATTTTTCCCGATTAAACACTTTTATTAGTATCCAAGTCCCGACCTAATAGTTTATGTTAAATTAAATCTTATTGTTCTTCGTTATTAAGTTTCGACCGAATATTTTCATTTACTCTTGAAAAATGTACTACGTTACGTCACAAGTTACCTATAACAGATGCGAAAGAAAGCGACTGCATCGGAAACCGCTCGGCAAACCCGACACGCCTATTGAGTGGTGTAAATACACCAGTCGTTTAGTCCGGAAACCTATGCTGTGTCGTATTCGCTTGCTGGAATGACATAGTGCGTGGTTATATGTTTCTTTTTAAAAACGCGTGTAGGATTTTTGTTGAACTTTTGTACTGTTATTTCTAAGTTTGGTAATTTGTATATCTTATTTAAAATGGGATGCAAATGTGTTTATTTATAAGGAAAAAAAAGATATTTATAGTATAAAAAATTAATTTATTTAACAAAATTTAATTAAAAATGCGACAAAATAGTTACCTTTCTATTGGTTCTATCGGACATTTTTCGACTATATAAATCTTTATTTGTAAACTTTAATACATCAAATATTTTCAATCTAATAAATCATTTAATGATGTAAATAAGAGGAAATTTCTCACATGGGTGGTCAAATTTTATAGTTTTCTTAATATCAAACAGCCTCTGAGAAATGTTTTCAACTCAAAATGCCTTTAATTATGTTTGACTACATCATTAAAAAGGGTCTTCAAATACATCAATGTGATATTTGTCTAAAATTTGCAAAAGAATCCGAATCTCTGGATAACTCGAAATTATTTACCCATTTAAAAGCCTTTGATCATGAAAGTGGAAAAATTTGTTCATTTTATTTACAGGCTGGAAAAATTATTTATTTTAAATTTTGATGAGTTTTACACTGAAGAAAACATTCAGAGGCTGTTTGATATAATGAAAACTATAGAATTTGACCACTCATGTGAGAAATTTCCTCTTATTTACATCATTAAATTATTTATTAGATTGAAAATATTTTATGCATTAAAGTTTATAAATAAAAATTTATATAGTCAAAAAAAGTCCGATAGAACCAATAGAAAAGTAACTATTTTGTCACATCTTTAATTAAATTTTGTTAAATAAATTAATGTTTTTATACTATAAAAATCTTTTTTTTCCCTAATTTCCTACAAACTGATATATGACGAGCAATCTATTAAGTATTAATGAGATTATATGCCTCGATCACATATCACAAATAATAACGCAAAATATACATTGATGCGGATTGTCTATCAACTCTTTCTGAAGGTCACAGAAGCCGAAACGCGGAATTCGGTGTTCTTTCGCATCTGTAATAGGTAATTTGTGGTTACGTTACATAAGTCCCCACTTGAATATTCACTTATTAAATTAAAAAATATCGGTTCACCACAGTGGTGAACAACACATATTTTTATCACAATATTGACGTTACTTCATAAATTATTTGGAAAAAATCGAAATAAAAATGAAACTTCTACACCCTGTATCTCCGAAACTAAGCATTTTAGGACATATGTTTATACGAACTTTTTTACTTATTTTTATGTGCAAAATATGCTGCCGAAGTTTCCGGAATACAGTTCGGATCACCCTGTAGAAAGAAAAATATTAAATATTGATACAGTCATGATAAATGTTGATAAATAATATAATTAAAATTTAATAAAGTTTTTTTTATTGAAAGTACTCAATCGAGGAGATTAATAAAACTACATTAACTAATAACATAAGAAAAATGCTAATTTAAATCACACCGTACTGCCTTCAGATATATACAAGGTGTAAAAATAATAGTGAACCGATTCTGTGGGTGATATTAAAATCAATAAAATAAAACA